TACTACTACTACTACTACCTACTACTAATAATAATAATAATAATAATAATAATAATAATACAACTACTACTACTACTACTACTACTAATAATAATAATAATAATAATAATAATAATATAACTACTACTACTACTACTACTACTACTAATAATAATAATAATAATAATAATAATACAACTACTACTACTACTACTAATAATAATAATAATAATAATAATAATAATAATAATAATAAATAATAATAATAATAATAGTAATACAACAACTATTACTACTACTACTACTACTACTACTACTAATAATAATAATAATAATAATAATAATAATAATAATAATAATAATAATAATAAATAATAATAATAGGACCTCTATGTATTTGTTTGTTTGTTTTCTGGTAAAATATTCTCCAGAGAAGCGCACTTGGGTGCCAACATTTTGAAAACATCCCTCCTGCTCCAGGTTTGACCTTTAAAATCTCAGTTTTGACATTAAACCCAAACAAACTGTGATATCTGAGCTCTTACACTGAAAAAAACCATGTATTTTTTTTTAGCATGCACACTTTCTGTTCAGAGAACAGACTGCAAACCATCTCATAAAAACATCTGATGCGAACGCTTCATCCTCTATAATGCTGTGCCGAGGGTGGATACGGTGCATGAGAAACGTGTGTGTGTGTGTGTGTGTGTGTGTGTGTGTACGAGCAGTATAGTCCTGAATGTTTGATGGGCGAGACTTTGCAGAGCTCCATTAGCTGCTGTTCTGGATTCAGCGCTGTGCTCTATCTGTCACACCCTATTACACTCTCTGTCCTCAACCCTCAAATATTATCTGCGGATATGGTTTGTGTACGCCACACAAACCTAAGATTTGGACGTACGCTTTAAACATGGTTTGTGCCAGAAACAATATACACTTGTGTACACACACACACACACACACACACACACACACACACACATCTGAGTGTGTTTGTAGCGATCTAAGAGGCTCCTGTTGAAGGTTGCAGGTAATCTGGCCTGTCTTAACCTCGTCTGACCCGATTTACGCCACGTACATCCGCACGCACACGCACACACACACTCCCCCCCCCCACACACACACATTGGCGCTGGTCTTCCTCTGCAGTTAAGCCCCTTCACATACTCCTGCACAATGTCCAGAGTAAACATCCACACTGGCATTTATTCAGCTGAGCTGGGTAAGGACACAGATGGTGATAAACCTGTCTGCACACAACGTAAACAGTTTGCAGCGGACACAAGCGGTGAGAAACGCCACCACTGAATCGAATCCAGCGCTGTATTTCCGCGTAAAAAATGCGCCGCGACGTGTATTTCTTGGAAGTGAAATGGTTTTTTATTATCAACGTAATGACCCGCGGTCGCTTAACCTTCAGCCTGATATAAAAGCCAATAGCTTTAAATGTCATGAGGTTTCTCCTTCGCCTAGCGCCTACAGTCCAGGCTCGTATATCAGTTTGCTTAATTTGACCCGATTCGGGCTCTACAGACAAGCCTAATTAAACAGTCGTCCAAAATTGATCATATTAACAGCCAGGTTTGTTCACTGGGTTTGGCTCATTGCTGTGATTCGGAAACGTTGCTGTAAAACACTCGCATATTAAACCGACTGAGCCGTTTAAGACGTTTACAAGCAGGACATGACCAGCGTTAGACTGCACGGACAACAGAACAAACATCCGACTAGGTGTTTAATGTATACTCGTGATTTTGGTGGACGTTAGCGGACGATAGCTATTTTCAAGCGCAACATTTAAAGAAACACATCCCCACCTCTCTCCAGAAGAGAGTTGGATGTTAGTTGTTTGCTTTTTTCCCCCCTTCCTGTTAATAGATACCTGGGTATTAGTTAGTTAACTTTTCTTTGACCAGTAGAAATTGCAGCTTAGCGGCAAAATCCTATTGTCGTTGTTTTTCAAGAACTTATAGCATCACCTTCTTCTTCTTCTTCTTGTTCTTCTACTTCTTCTTCTTCTTCTTCTTCTTCTTCTTCTTCTTCTTCTCTCTCTCTCTCTCACTCTAAAGGAGATCCTCTAGGAACATATCCTGATAGGGAAATACTCTGTTAAGGGTTTTATATACTGTAGAAGCTTTAATAATGGCACAGCTGAAGATCTCGAAAAACTAGGACTTGAAAGTTAAAGATTTTTCCATAAAAATCTAAATCTACAACCATTAAGGGTCCTACAGTTTTCCCCTCTCTGTCGCAAGGTTCTAACAGTATGTAGAACCTTAAAATAGAGGGTTTCTCTCTCTCAGACTGGGTTACTGCTTTATTAGGGGGGGGGGGACTTTAACTAGCCAAAGAATCCAAAGAGCTTAATGGTTCTGTGTTAGTTCCAGGAAAAAAAAAAAAAAACCCAATCACCTCCAAAAAGCTGCTACTGAACCCTTGAGCGAGTTGCTTAATATTCAAATGCTGAGCTTTATTGTCTTCTGTCTTATGTCTTTGCATCACTTTGGATAACCGAGTGTAATAAATGAAATCATGGTTCATTTATGAATGTACGCCGATAACCTTCCTTTAAAGACGGACATAGTCGAGCTCATTTTGGCAGGCAGGATCTTTACATTTTTAATATGGGGTGATATGTGCCGAGAAGTACAGCTCTGTTTATATTGTACGTTATTAGGAAAGAAATGTTCCTCAAGGGCTTGTTCGATAATTAAGAGTTCCTAAAGGAGTTCCTCTAGGAACACTCTCTTATATACGCGAATATAATGAAGAATTCTTAAAGGAGTTCTTTTAGGAACGTTCTCTGATAAGGAAATTCTCTGGATTCGGTTTTACACAGAAGTTTTGGAGTTGACTTTTTCCTTTACTGCAAAAGTAAACTAAGGCATCATTTAGAAACCATGCTTAACCAGGAGCTGCCACAATGCAGCGATTCAATTTACTTCCTCCAGAGTTATACAGTATAGCCCTTGTGAATACTCCATTAAAAAAAATCCTTTAGAGCAGGACAAATTGGTTCCCAAGGCTTTTCAGTCACCTACGCTAGCTACAGCTGGAACGTGGGCAGTCAATATTAATATACTCAATGTCAGGGAGTGTGAGGAAGCAAGTCCTGAGGGACGATCGATAGTCCTCTGGCCCTCCGAAGTAGCGGCGTGTAGCTGCTATGTTCATGAATTAGCATGGAGCATGAGCAACTGCGAGACAATAAGTGGCCAGAAACCTAATGGAAGCTGTAAGAAAACTCTTGGAGCGAGTGACATCACCAGTGGAATGATTAAAAAAAAGGACGCGAATGGTAGAGGGAAGAAATTCGGAGACACCAAATGGTAACACGATGGAGAAAAGAAACACGCTTTAATATGGAACAAGTTTCCACATGTTTCTGTTACGCCCACCTTCACATCCTCCCCTTTCTGTCCTCTCTCCCACTCTTTTCCTCCCTTTTTAATGACCATCCTCACCAGAGTTAGCACAACTGGCCTGGACGATAGAGGAGTTTATGGAGATCTGCTCAGATTAATGGGCTGATAATGAGCTGCCATGTGATGGCCAGAACCAGGCCTGATAGGGCAGGCAGCCACAGGAAGTCTCGCACTCTGTAAAAAAGTTGCATGGTGGAACCGGTCAAAAGCGCAAGATGAGTCCAGATCATTGGAAATGTAAGATCCACTTAACTGAGAAAATATTGTTTGGCATGAAAGAGGGTGCATGCCAAGTTCAGCTAAGCTGTTGGAGAAGTTAAGACCATGTGGAGCAAAGAGGTTAAACATGTTTTCCAGTGGAAGTGAAGTGGGGGTACATTGGAGCGATCGCTTTAAAGGAATAGTTTGGCCAAAAAATGTAATTTGAACAATTTTCCACTTATCCGAAAAACAGCAGGTCGGCCAAGATATGTTTGGTGACTGAACTCTTTAGATTTGTACTGAGCTGTGAGGGAAACGTTTCTATACATCATACGGGATGAACCACTATAACGTTCTTCTACTTAACCAGTAGTTCAACGAAATAGTACACTAGTCATTTTCTCAAGCAAAAACTAATTTTTTATTGTTATTATTTTTATTAGTGTGGCTAATCCTGATAAATAACAAGTTCCTTAACTTCCTTACCCGAGCTGTAGCAGAGCTGAAATCATTGATTCTGAAACAGACAGCACGCAGCATGGAAGCTCATGTCCATCAGCCGAGCTCTCGTTATAGCTAAACGCTTGGCCTATCTTGGACGGAGGATCAAACTGAAGGTTTTTCCAGTCCTCTACCTGTAAACTATCTGATGTTGATAGTGTTGCTTATGCCGGAATTTACCCTGCCGCAGTTCAAGAATTTTATTAACATTTTATTTAGCTTTAAAGAACAGCAAAATGACCTGTGGGAGTAGGCGGGACTAGTCGAAAGTCTTTGTGAGCAATAAGACAGTCCCCTATACACTTCATACAAAGTGATATCGAAGTGGTAGACCTTCCGCGAAAGTAAAAGCGTTGGGGGACTTTTCCCAGTATAGTCTTATACAGTTGACGATAGAACTGGCTACATATAGTCTAAAATACTTTCAAACTATCAAAAATACATTCAGCTGCCATTGTCATATCACTGCCTCGCTGTCTATCCTACTTTCCTGACTAGTCAACAGCGCGGCACAGCAGTGACTAGTGAATATATAAATGGACTAGTCTATGTAACCCCTCCTATTAAAATAAATAGTCATAGTTATTAGTTTTGGCATCATGGGATCTACATACTGGAAACATATTACAGTCTGAAAAGACTTTGTTTGGCTCAGTAACATCATCCACCTGCAAATGAAATGGTAGTTATAGTTGATCCAAACAGCATCTTTGCGCCACACCTCCTAAACTTGCTTTGATACCAAAGTATAATGATACGGAGTATTTATTGATCACATATACATATGCTCAGTGAAATTCTCTTCTTCACATACCCCAGCATGTTAGGACGTTGGGGTCAGGGCTGGAGTAGAAAGGGTTAAGGACCGTGCTCGAGGGTCCAACAGTGGCAGCTTGGCAGTGCTGTGGGTTGAACCCCCGACCTCCTGATCAGTAACCCAGAGCCTTAACCGCCAAGCCACCACTGACTTGAGTGTATACACTCAAGAAGAAAGAGATTCTGCTTTAAAATGGCTGCTATACTGTTTTTTTGTTTGTTTGTTTGTTTTAGTGAAGTCCTTTTGCCCATTTGTATACATAGTAGTGTGTCATACAATGTCTGAAAGAGGTAAAGAGAAAGAGTTAGAGAGAAAGTCTGTGTAGTATGCATGATGGAAGAGATAAGCTTTCTTTACTTGTCAGCAAAAATAGCGTCGTAGCTTCCTTCAGCAAAAAACGAAAGAATCGAACTTCAAACAGCATACATATCTTGGCTGATCTTGGCACTACTTTGTTAGTAAAGACAGAAAAGTCACATTTTGAATCTATAACGATATTCTTTAGTGTTTCATCGGAACATCAGAGAACATGCCTCCAACCAACAACAAGTATGGAGGATTCAACCAGCAACCAAAAGTATGGGGGATTCTTAGAGAAACACATTTTATCACTTTCCTTTCAGTGTACAATGATGTGCTCCGTGCACTTATCTAAGACAGCAGAGGGACTCGGTGCGTGTAAGTGTTTGGATCGAGATCCTCTGGGGAATGCACCTGAACGAAGAAAGCAGAATTTTCCAGAAGCCTGGTCGCTCAGCTATCACGAGGAAACGCACTGTACCAGCTGCTTCATGAAAAAACAACTTTGCCCAGATGAAAGAGACAGAGAGAAAATTAGCTAGGGCTTTATTTTACAGCGCAGCACATGTATCGTATTTATCAGAGAAGTACATGGTCATTTCTGGTACACCATTGGATTGTAGAGAAATATTTGTGGAACCAGGTTCGTACAGCAGAACGTCAATGCAATAATTAATTCAGAATTGCAGAGCTAATCATGCAGTACTAAAGGAAGAATTATTAACTAACTTGCTGTTAACTACGTGTACGCAGATACAAGATGGCCGCCGCGTCGGTCCTGCAGTATATCCTGCGGTGTAACCTGCAGCCGTTTGGCACGTCCATGTGGTTCAATACCAACACAAATACGGTACTATACTATTTCGAATGGTTTTCCTTTTAGAGCTAGTGTTTGAATTTTAAAACCCTCTTAAAGCTACTGTCTTAGGGACCAGTCTTCAGGATTTTCAAGATTAGTGCATGCTTTTGAATGCACGGCGAGGCTTTTTGATTTGATACGCGGATCATGACGACAATCACGACGACAGCAGAACAGTTTCATCGGTCTGTTTAGCATCACCGTGCATGAAATTGCTAAACTTTACAGTTCAACTTGGAAACTAAACGGACACAGATGTTTTGTCTCTGATTTGCCAGCGAGTAGAGATTGCGTTTAGTCCTCCATATATTCGTAAGGTACGTAAAAAATGATGCTCTCATAGCAGGTGACGCATGGTGAACGTGACGGAGATTTGCATCTTGATGCCTTTGTTCTTGTCTCTAGTCAGAACTACTGTCGGAGCTGCTGTTCTAGAAAAGTCAGCATCTTCTGACCAATCAGATATAAGAGTTCAACAGTGGTGTAATAGGTAGTTACTGGATTGCAATATAAAGTGCTAGTGAAAATGAGGGTGACAATGATGATGAAAAAAAGGGAGCTGTGTTATTTGAAAAAAAATAATTGAATTGCACAGTATTTTGACAGCTAAAAAGCTAACCATGTAAATCATTTTGATGGTAAATTTAAATGATAGTAAAGTGTTGAATTTAGGAGAGGCTGAATAAATGACATCGCTTATTCGGAGCTAAAGTTAATTCGGCCTAATTTGCATACTAACTGCATCCTTTATTATTTTCATTCCTGCCCTGTAGCTCCTCTTTAAATGAGCTAAACCTGACCATAAACAGCTTGGGAACACTAAAAGACGTTCGTTATCGAATATCAGTAACAATCTGAGCTGTACTTCCTACCTTAATATCCAAAACAGGCTGTTTGACAACAAACCTATTATCATTTATCTCTCATCCCCGCTGACCTCATTAGGCCAGACCTATTCGAATGCTAACGATACATTAGCCATAGTGTGATAATACAATCTCAGTAACCTCATTATCAGACAATTAAAAACCCATTTGCAGTGCAAATGTGAGATTTTGAGATTTAAAGGCTTGTAAAGAATGTCGGAGTATTTCTTAATCCCTCAAATTCTCCATCTCGGGGAAAAGTGCTTGACCTGATGTCTCATAAAGCCGTGACATAAATAAAAATCCCAGCTCGCACATTTTATTGAGATGTTAACGATACATAAAGATTTATTTATTTATTTGTTTATTTTCAGCTTGAGATCGCAAGCACAGTTTTTACTGAAACCTTTTTCCATCGTAGTGTGACTGAGGAGCAGGAGTGTGTATTTTACACACCAAAAATGAGTAAAAAGAATGAAATAACTGAGTAAGCTAGCTAGCTGAGCAAAGTACTAGCTAGCCACTAGCTCATTAACATACTAGCCAATTTAAGATAATTATTGTATTGTGTCATTAAAACCAATCTAGTGTTTTATGTACATTTTATACTGTTCGTACTGTTTCATCCATTTCAAAGGAATATAAAGAAATATGTACAAATACGCACTTAATATATTGTAGTAACCTGGACATTTATATATATTATTTATATATATATATATATATATATATATATATATATATATATATATATATATATATATATATATATATATATATATATTTCATTATTATTTTTTTGATCACTTATTTTAAGTGAAAATTCTGAACTTAATTGAAATACACTGGTCTGTGAATTATCTCTCTATGAGTCGGTTAGTTTTAGAAGAGAAAACCCTAGCTACAGAGTGAGAGATGACAATATATCAATAAATAAATACATTTTTTGTTCCTATTTCAGAAATAATTTCACCTTCAGATCAACTGCTAATCCTAGAGGTTCACGCACGTTTCCCCACTCACAGATATGTCCTATTGGACCGTTTTCCTTAATAAATAAATGAACAAGTATAATATTTTTGTCTGGTTTGATGTTATCGGCTCATAAGTCATATACGGTACGTCTATACAGTCTAAAGGAGGACGTGCTGTTCTGTGCAGACGGTAGCCGTAAGCCGAGGTGGTGCAAACAGGACAATTGGTATTACTGGAAGAGTTGTCACGTGATGCCCTTAGGAGGCATATTTAGAGACCTGTATGATTATTCATTTATTTACTATTTGTCTTTAAATTAAAAAAAAATGGGAAGGATGAAAGCTGGCTGATAAAATCGGTTCTGATTGTCATAGTATCTGGTCAATTAAAAATAAAAATGAATTATTAATTTTTTTTATTATTATTTCTCACCATATTTTGCTCTTTTCGGATGCTGTGATTCTGCTGTGTATCTATACGCTGCAAAAGAATATATTTGTTTTAGTTCCCGTGTACACGTGTCAAAAGTACTTCAGCTTCCGCCTCGGACAAATTCTTCTTGTTCAGTAGCCATGGTGCGCTTTCCGCCGTGTAAACTTGGCCTTTTTATGGAGGTTTGCGTGCGTCAGCAAAAGCAAGTCAGCTGTAGCATGCACATGGCCAGGAATGTGCGGATGAGGATCAATTTACGCACACGAATACGGGGGGAAAAAATCGGCATCTCTCGACCTTTTGTAAATCCGGCATACATTTTTTTCGTTTGGTTTGCGTTACATGAACACCGACAAACAACTTTATTCAAAGATGAACGGATAAGACCCGATGTTTTTTGCCGCAGTTATCGCACAAAAAGCTCAAAGAACAAGCAGCAAGCCTGGAAACGTTCCCAAATTCTCTGGAAACCCGAAACGTGCTAACCCGAAACTTATTAGCTAGCTTCCTATTTTGTTAAATCTATCCCTCATAGACTCGTGCTACCTCGAGTAGTTTTTGAATCAGACAGCTACCGAAATGTACCGAGACACCGCTCAGCAAAAATCAAGCCAAACTCTCTTACTTTCTGACTAATCGTGTACCTCGTGTACCTCATTACTGTAAAAATGGACTGCTATCTTCAAACCCAATCAGCGTCTGTTGCTCAGCCTCTAGATTTAGGCAGCGCGGTTTGGAGATTGGAGCACAGGATAGTGCATTTAGCCTGTAATATCTGCTCTGCTTTTCCCTGGAGACAAGCATCCAGCATTTCATATTTCAGAGGAAATTACATTAGGGCTCAGCACGATGGCAGCGTCTGTCAGGGAAAGCAGCACTTGTTTTCTCTGGCCTCGTCAGCCAGCGAGAGCAATGTACAGCTTCAGTCTGATCTAATCAAGATCCTGCAAGTCAAAACAAAGCGAATGCTTCTCTCAGACATCGGACTTGAGGAAAGAATGGTTTGCATTTGTGTCTGTGTGTATGCTAGGTTATTACTAATCCGTATTTCTAGATGGGAACAAGCATGGGGTGGTCATGAAAGAGAATTCTACCACAGCACTGGTAAATGCTTCATTCCAATTGGTTAGAAGATGTTGATTCATTTTCTGGAACCGCAGCTATGAAAGTAGTGCAGCCTCAAATCCATCCATCCATCCATTTTCTGTACAGCTTATCCTACACAGGGTCGCACAAGGTGGGGGACACCCTGGATGGGGTGCTAATATATGTTTTTGGACTGGGGGAGGAAATCAGAGTACCAGGAGGAAGCCCCCGGAGCATGGGGAGAACATGCAAACTCTGTGCCCACCCTGGACAGGGTGCCAACCCATCGCAGGGCACAACCAATCTGGAAATGGCGGTCAGCCTACAATGCATGTCGTTGGACTGGGGGAGGAAACCGGAGTACCCGGAGGAAACCCCCGAAACACAGCGAGACCATATATACTCCACTTTGGGGCAAATGGGAAGGCTTGAGGAAACTTTAGACATAAACTATATTAAATGCAGCGCTATTTAAGAAAGTCTGAATTTTGTTGTAATAGTTCTGGCATCAAATAAGCCTGTAATAATGAAATTTCCCCGCTAGCAGACTTGTACAACTGAGATAATTATGTCTGCTGCCTCTGCTCCACTTTCCTACTCACGCCTTCGTGAAAAGTTCAAACGCAGACAAGC